AAACACAATCAATGCCACCCAGAAGCTCCAAGCCATCCGCACCACTATACATTTCTTACCACCCTGTCTGGCATTTTACTAGAGGTATTTCCTTCCCACCACGCTCCCTAACCCACCCCCCACACCTGACCCTTCACTTCTTGCCCAGTTGTTCCTCAGAGCTTCACATTTGTTTTTCTCTGTAACCCAGGACACTGTCTCCAGTTCCGTTTCTCAGCTTGTACCAGGAGAGAGTGTGTGAAGACACTGAGGAGTGCATCTGTCACTTCATTCATCTGGTCTTAAATTTCCTGAAGACACTGTAAGCTGGGAGGATCTAATGCAATGCACACATCAACATCACTGCTATCCTGCACCACTGTTTCCTGACTACTGTTGTGGTTAAGTCCACAAAGCTAAAGCTAGAGCAAAGCTTCTATAGGTCAAGGACTCTTTTACATTAGGAGATATTACTAGACCCAGAAATACAATGTGAAGGTAGGAGATTGAGAGGGCATGTTGGAGGAAAAATAGTCAAAATGGCTAAATTTTAAGAATTAGGAGACATAAAAGAGGGCAGATACACTTGAAAAGTCAATGTTTTACAAGTATATTTCACCATCGGAATAAGAATAAGGAAAGAAGGGTCAAAAACTTGAAAAGAATTTGTCAAATGAAAGTTAGATGTCAGAAGTATGCTATGGCCCAAAAAAAGAAAAGTTAAAATAGCTGCAAAGAAGCTTGCTTGCAATGACCTATGGCTCAGTTTCAAGAAAAGCAGCATTCTACTGTAATTTTCTTTTAAACAGGCATAAATCAGTCCCACTTTATGTTCAGGGACTGCTGTAGGATACCTGATTCCTTTTAGTTTTTTCTAAGCCCAACAATCATGCATAAGTTGGGCAAATAAAATATAAGCAACTCTTTTTCCAGCATAAAAACAGTGTTAGCAGCTTAACATGACACTGGACAAAACAGCACAGGGCTAAAACACAGGTCCAGAGATTTTGCACAGAGGCTGTTCTGCCGCTGTGCTCTGTAACCTTTAGCAAATTATTTGCCTCTCTGGGTCAAGGCTGACTGGTTAAGGTCAGGGTCACTGACCCAATGATCATAAATAGTGGTTAACTTTACTAAAGAAAGTTATTCCAAGGTCACATTCAATGTAAGAAGAAAAACTGAAGAAAAAGGTAAAAAAAAATTTCAGAATGACTAAGCATAACCTTATCACAGCACCACCAAGCTAGACAAGAAGAATTCAAAACACAAGGCCAACTTCTCAGTTATTGGTGTCATCTTTGAATATGAAAGACAGGATCTAAATATTATCCTGGGTGTGCTGCTGTTTGCTCATCTGTAACAAAGTAGAAAAAAAAATCATGTTCTTAAAGGATTGTTAAGATAAGTGACCTATCAACAAGCCTGCCAAGTGCTTCTTTAAACAGAAACTGCTCCATAAAAGTCCCAGTGATGATCCAGTGGTGTGGAACAATCCAACTTCAGTTCCCTGGCCTACCCACGTCCTTTTGTCTTCAGGGAAGTAAATATTCTGGGCATTTCTGACCTCTGAGAATCATTCGGCTATTCAGGTTCTCAAATGGTAGAAACAGGGAAGGGCAACTTCAGATAGATCCTTTCAAACCTTATTTAGAAGTCTTAAATGGGGAATTAAGCCACTCTGAAATGGGAGAACAGAATCCAAATGTCAGTATCAAATAATAATAATAAAAAAAACTACCTGGCAACAATTAATAAATCAAAATTCACAATGATTTCAGTAAAAGGAGAGGTAGCAATCAATTCTCATCTCTCGTGGTAAGAAAACCTATTACCCAATTAACTGGACAGGCCAAAAATACTTCCAAAGTGACTTTCAGAATGTGAGTATCCCAGGGCCTGGCCAACAGGCAGGGCAGCCGCAGTGTCCTAAGGAGACCCTTGACCATGCATGAGCCTGCACTAGTGCTGTTGAGTGGGTGTTTTACTTCCAGCCCCCAAAGCCACCTCTTAATAAGGATTCTCTTACCATGCAGGGAGAAATGCCCAACAAAGGTAATTAGGATGGGTAAAGTTACTCCAGAGCCTCCCAAGAAACTACTGGATCTCCGAGTGGGGTGGGGTTGGGGGTGAAGGGAGTGCAGGGACTAAGACTGCAGAGGGGTCTTTTATTTTTTTAAGATTTATTTATTTATTTGAAAGTCAGAGAAAGAAGGAGAAGCAGAGAGAGAGAGAGGTCTTCCATCTGCTGGTTCACTCCCCAACAGGTGCAACAGTCAGAGCTGTGTTGATCTGAAGGCAGGAGCTAGGAGCCTCCTCCAGGTCTCCCATGAGGGTACAGGGGCTCAAGGACTTGGGCCATCTTCTACTGCTTTCCCAGGCCATAGTAGAGAGCTGGATTGGAAGTGGAGCAGCGGAGATGCAAACCAGCACCCATATGCAGGTGGCAGTTCCGCCCGCTATGCCACAGTGCTGGCCCCCAGAAGGGTCTTAAATGGCCTTGCTTCCCCCAGGCAGAGGTCCTTAAAACGGGGGCCAACCTCAATGGTGATGGTCACTGAGGGCTAGAAAACACTTGCCAACACAGGACAGAAGGGGCCCATTGTGCTCACAGGGAGTTAATGCATCACCTATAAATTTTACAAGACCAGTAAATGCTGCCTGAAAATTTCTGAACAATTATTTGTTAAACCAACTAACAGACCATAATTGTTCTTGTATATCATAAAATCAACCCCACTATTTCTCAAAATGTGGTGAGGGGATTCCTGGCGTCAGAATCACTCAAAGGGGCTTGTTAAAAATACAGGTTCCTAAGCCCCACCCCAGCCTCCTGAGCTGAATCTGAGGGACTGGAGTCCAGCTCAAGAACTGAATTTCTAAGGAGCAACCAGTTGATCTGGATGGCTCATATCAAGGCAAGAGCTGTGTCCTACTGTATAGCCCATCAGAAACGCCAAGACATTCATAGATTAGGAATCTCTACATTTCAATGTTTACATATCATAAAAATGAAACAATAGCCCTTCTGATGAATTATTAAAACCACCCCAGTTTACTCTGCCCTCATATAACGAACATGATTATTAAAATGTAATTACAAATAGGAAATTATTGAGAAAAACATCAAGTTCCCCAAAATACTGCCTTTATTGTCACCCAAAGTAATTACGCTATTAAAGGAATTTACAGTTCTCTAAAGTATCAGTCATTTGGCTGCAAGAACTTATTAAGCTGTTATATTCCTCCCATACTCATTTAGTCATCAGAATTTTTGTGATAAAGCCTTTTTATTATTTTTAAAGAGTAAATTGCGAACCATTGCAACTAGTGATTAGGCTGAATAGGAATTTATGTCTGCATTATAAATTCCTAAAAGCATGTTTTATTAGATTTACTAAGACAGCCTTCATGGTAGTCTGCAATGAAGCTCTGCTTTACCTCTAATCAGGTTTGTTTTGTTGGTGCAAAACAATTCAGGTTTAATGCATGCTCTTAAAAAGAAAAAAAACCAAAATCCAGCCACTGATATACACATCACTGCAAAGCAGTAAACCAGTGTTGCATGATGTGACAACCACATTTCTTTTCTAGAGGAATGATCCCCCCCGCCTTCTATGAGCTCCCCCCCCCCCACACCTCAAACCATAGCTATAATTATTTCACAAAATGCAGCTCACCATTTGTAGAGACAAACATTGCCTTCTCCCCTTCTCCCTCCTCCAAGCTGCAAGTTCAGGCCAAACAGCGAATGAAAATAGAACTTGGGAGGCAGGCTTTGTTTGTGGCATGTTGTTGCTGCTCAGGGCTGCCCCCGGCCCACGCCCCCCGGTGCAGCCCCGCGAGTGTACACGCTGTGTTTTAACAGATGGGCCGGCTGGCGGCTGCTCGGCTGTAAAGCCGGAACGCGGAATCTGCACCCGGCGGTAGTGAACAGAACGCTCGTAAAGTTCACGGACGTCCACTGCCCCAGACAGGCTGGGCGATGCACACAGCTTGCAAACGCGCGCTCGGCTCCCAGGGCCCGGGGTTCGCCGCCCGGGGAAGGGCAAGGCTCAGTCCCCCGCACCTGTCTCCACCGCACGCACTCAACACTGGACAGACGGCCACACTCGCGATATCTGTGTCCACGCACAGCTAACTACACACACGTCTAGATGTTCACATGTATTTCCGACGCTTTAACCAGTCCCGAATCCGCTACTCGAGTCTCTACTGAGTACGCTCAATAAGCTCTCGCTCGTGAAAAATAATTCCAAGAACACATCGCACTGGCTTCTCCGGAGCCTGCGAGCTTAGCATCGGACACAGCCGAGTCACGAGCCAGGCGTCGGGCGTAACCCTGCCTCGCCGTGGCCCCTTCGGTTCCAACTTCAGCCCCTTAAACACACACACGCAGCAGCCCCCCGGGGCGGGAGGTCCCCGCACCGCCCACTCCCGGCCGAGCCCTCGGGCACGCGGCGCGCGTGCCAGGGAGGAGGGGGTCCGGGCAGCTCAGGGGGGCGCGGGTCGGAGCGCTCCTCAAAGTCGTCTCCTCACAAAGTTTCAGGGCCAGCGGAGCCGTCGGGCCCCCGCGGTGCCCGCCGAGGCCCCGGCTCCCTGCCTCCGCGCGCCCCGCCGGTCCTCGGATCCCCGGGGCGCCCACCACGACCCCCGCGCGCGCGCGCGCACCCAGCCGAGGGCTCGGCGCGGCCGCCGCGTCCCCGCCGTGGGAGCTCGCCGCGGGCTCGGACTTTCGCCCCCTTGGAACCGCCGCCCGCACACCGGCGGGCCTCCGCGCCCCCGGCCCCACCTCGGCGACCGCAACTAAAGCCGAGTGGGTGCGAACGCGGAGCTGCGTCCCGGGCCGAGGCGGGATGCTGGGCAAACAAGAAGTTCGCGCGTGGGGACAGCGACGCGGGGAGAATCCCGCCCAGGCTGGACCTCTCCACAGCGGCCGCGCTCGGACGCACTGACCGCCCGGCGCCGGGACGCGCCCGGCCCCGGCTCGCCCGCCGCCCATCGCCCCGCGCGCGGCCACTCACCCTCCTCGTGGAGTCTTGATCGCAAACCGATGCTCCTGCTGCGGGTCCTGGGTCCCAAGTTGCCACGAATTGGCCGCTGCTCACGCCCCAGCGGCCTGGGGCACATTGGCTCGGGGGGACACCTCGGGGAAAGCAAGGCAAGCCCGCCGGCTCCGGCTCGGCAGTAGCCCGCAGCGCGCTGACAATTCGCGGACCTGCTCAGCGAATGAGGCGGAACGCGAGGCTGAGGCGACTCCGCTCCGGAGGGAGGCGGAGCCGGGCGGCGGGAGGGGCGGAGCCAGTCCCGCACCGCCCCGAGGGGGCGGGACCTCCAGCAACCCCGTGATGGGCGGAGTCGGCACCCTGGCCCAGTAGCTCTGGAATCCCTGGCGACCGTGGGCGGGGCCTGGCCCCCGGGCTCTGAGGACGCTGTCCAATCGCCTGCGATCCAGGGCTGGCAGGGCTGACGCGCCCGCGGCGGGGAAGTTGGCCGCCGCCGAATACGGCGTCTGCCCCGGGCCCTTCGGCTCCGCTGTGGTGGGCTCCGGTCGCCTCCCGGCTGACACCCGAGAGCCGCGGTGTCACCGAGACCGGATGGACCTCGCCGGTCCCGGCACCCTCAGGAATGTGGGACTTGGCGTTCCTACAGGAGCCCCATCCGTCGGGGTAAGCTGAGGCCCAAGCAGGGTCGCCCAGGACTGACAGAAGCCTGGGTCCCGGGCGAGCGCTGAGCGCTCCTTGGAAAGGTTCTTGTCTCCGCCTGGTGATCACTGCCGCGAAGCTGTGGCCCCGGCTGGAAAGTTCTGAAGTGGCCGCCCGCTCCGCACCGCGGACCCGCGTGCCTTCTCTCCCCGCCGCGGGGCGTCCCTGGCGTTGGCACAGCCCAGCAGCAAACGGCGGGCTCGGGCGCCCGACGGACCCTCAGGACCTTCCCCTGCGCGGAGGCGTTCGTCGCGGCGGCCTCTCCAGGACTACGAGGGCGCCGCGGTCATCAGTCTTCGTGGACTGGAAGCCGAGGAGCCGGGCACAGCTGCCCGTCCCTCATCGAAGTTCCCCGCTAACAGGGAGAAAGGGCGCGAACGCAAGGGATTTCTCTGGCAGGCGGCGCCGCAGGGTCACTCCCGGCCGCGGAGCCCTGCAAGGTGGCCTCGTGGCCTCTGCCGTCTTGCTCCCCGTCCTGTCAGCGGGGAACTCCTCAGCTGCGTTTTAAGCCCTTGCGTGCCTACTGCACACACACCTGCCAGGCTGACAATGTGGAATCCAAAGCAAAGTTGGGTGTCCTAGCTTTCCAGGCCGAGGCCTAGAACGTGAGCAAGCGCTAGACGGTGTGCTTTGTGTGAGTAGTGCCTTTCTGTGCTTCCAGCGGCACCTGCTGTAAGTAGGTGGCCCACTCATGTTCTTAGGAATAAAGAACCACATGGCAGGAAAGGGGTCAGCCCCTGGAGCCCTGCCACCCACCTTCACCACCCTCAGACTTGCAGTCCATGCCTACTAAGACGATTAATAGTCTCATTCAGAACCCAGGAGACCTGAAGGTGTTCCTCTCAGGAAGGGCACCTGTGCCTTGTGAAGGAGCTGCAGGTGTTATTTCCTTCTGGCCTCCTTTATGTCCTATATCGTAGCTGACTTCTCAAGAGAAGGTTCTGATGAGATCACCTGTGGCTGAAAGGCGTGGAAAGTCTTTTCCACTGTGAAAATGGCAGCTCTTACATAAACCTTGGCCTGGATTGAGTTTCAGCTCTGTCTTCTCAGCTCCCTTTCTCACTGGGAAAAAGCCCATAGGTTGACTGTCAGCACACAGAACAACAAGACCTGGACAGTCCTGAGCAGGCCTGAGAAACTGACAGCGATGCAGAAATTATACACATTTAAGCCTTTGTACTGGAAGGATGGGTGCTGTGTGGGGGACACCATCTCACTTCATTCCAGAAGTTGCCTACCATGCTGCTGAGAGGCATATTAGAACGGTTATTGCCCACAAAGAATTGGACCACATGAATGGAATACACAGCAGAGCTCAGCTCAGGTCCTGGTAGGGTTAGGTTGCCTCCATGAGCCTTGCTAGCCTCTCCATTGAAGGCAGAGTTGGGATACCATCTTTGATGACAATTATCAGGACATTCTCATGGAAGAAATATGTTTCCTAGGGTTTCTACCCTGCACATACACTCTGGATATAGCTAGAGAAGAACTTTGCCACCAGTGCTTATCATATTAACCCCTCAGAAGATTTTCATGGATCCTAATGATTATTTTAGAAATCGTCTTGGAAATAGGAGCCCTGGGTCTACTGTAGTATTTGATGATGGAAAGGGGAAATAAAGAAAATGCCCTTTCATAAAATAATTTAGAATTAATCAGATGACTTTCCTGTCCCAGTTTCCCAGGTTTTTCAGTTGTTCCAGACCCAACCATCCATAGGTTCTTGGACAAGTAACAGGTCTCGTTTTCCCTGGTAGAATGCATTGCCTGGGAAAAAGCACATTTGGAGAATACTCGTTTCCACACCATCTTTGAAGAAATTGGCTTTCAGCAAGAGCATATCACTTGGACATAAAATTTATATTCCTTTGGTTACTAGTTCTCCCAGTGATCTCTTAACTTTGGGCCACCCACATATACTACAAAGGAATATGAGATGTGTCTGGGCTATGAATCCATGCTAATACTGTCTGAATGAAACAAACAGAAAATCATGAAAATTTGAACATAGAAGTCACTTGTGAATTTCCAACCTATTTCATGAAAAGATGTTCCTTTCACTCAAAGGGATAAAGAAATTTGTGGAATAGCTTGGAAATGAAAAGAATCAAGTGGGACTATGGAAGTGGAGCTGGTCCCTATATAGATGGTAAGCAAATTTGTCTTCAGGTGCTGTCAGCCCTTCTTGGTCATAAACAGTATTTCAGAACCTTGTCATTTTTACCAGGCTGTGACTTGTATAAGCCGTGTGTGTGTGTGTGTGTGTGTGTGTTTTAAGATTTATTTTACTCATTTGAAAGGCAGAGTTACAGAGAGGCAGAGAGAGAGAAATAGAGAGGTCGTCCATCTGCCGGTTCACTTCCCGTATGGCTGCAATAGCTGGAGCTGCGCCAATCTGAAGCTAGGAGCCAGGAGCTTCCTCCAGGTCTCCCATGTGGGTACAGGAACCCAGGGACTTGAGCCATCTTCTGCTGTTTTCGCAGGCCACAGCAGAGAGCTGGATCGAAAGTGGAGTGGCCAGGACTTGAACCAGTGCCCATATGGGATGCTGCAGGCAGCAGCTTTACCCTTTACACCACAGCACCGGCCCCAAGAGCCATGGATTCTAATCTAAGCAACCACAGTGGGGAGTGCTCCACACGGTCACTTAACCTCCCTTTACCCTTGCTTACTTGGCTGTAAAATAGAGGTGGCAGAATTGACCTACTGTTAAGATAGACACTGTGACAATGGTAAGAAAGCCGGCGCCGCGGCTCACTAGGCTAATCCTCTGCCTTGTGGCGCCGGCACACCGGGTTCTAGTCCCGGTCGGGGCGCCGGATTCTGTCCCGGTTGCCCCTCTTCCAGGCCAGCTCTCTGCTGTGGCCAGGGAAGGCAGTGGAGGATGGCCCAAGTGCTTGGGCCCTGCACCCCATGGGAGACCAGGAGAAGTACCTGGCTCCTGCCATCGGATCAGCACGGTGCGCCGGCCGCAGCGCGCCAGCCGTGGCGGCCATTGGAGGGTGAACCAATGGCAAAAGGAAGACCTTTCTCTCTCTCTCGCTCTCACCACTCTGCCTGTCAAAAAAAGAAAAAGAAAAAAAAAAAGAAAGAAAGCACTACAGATATGTGGCACTTTTGGTGGTACTAACTTCCAAAAAGGAGTAGAGAATGATGTTGACATGGGAAAATAGTGTAATCAACCTATTTTATATACATGCAATTTTATTTTAATCTCATTAGATTATTGCTATCCCTTGTATAAATGGAAATGAGGTAGAAAGGGCTTTTACTATCCTTATTCTTTGATTACCAAATGTTTTTAAATCTTTTAATGGCAATGTGTTGCTCCCCCACTCGCGGAGGAACGACACCGAACCCTGCGCTGTTCTCTTTGCCCGGCCCTTCCCGGGTTTGCTGCCGTTCCCCCACTCGCGGAGGAACGACGCCGGAGGGGCAACACCCCCCACCGCTATCCCCGCTTCCACGGAGGAGCGGCACACCGCCGGCTGGCTCTCTCAGGGGTTCCTCAGATGTTCCTGGTGCATGTTGTCTTTCTCCTCCTTTATAGTCCTCTTCCACCAGTCCATGCTCTGCTGCCCACACGCCGAGCACGCTGCTCTCCTCCAATCAGGAGCAGGATCAGCTCTTGCAGCTTGTTAGTTGAATTGGTGAGGCAGCTGTGTGGAAGTTGTTTGCTCTCTCTCTGCGCCATATGATGGGAGATCAGATGCATAGAATTAGTCTTAGCAGTTCCAGTAATTTAGTCTAGTCTCGGTTGCTCCCCACAGCAATGAGTGTTCATAATAGGCCAAGTTATAGAAAGAGTCCTACAACTGAGGAAATGTTCATTTAGGTGTATAGTATTTATCTGTCTCATTCTCATCATCTCTGTCAACATTTATTCACTTTGAAAATTGTTCACAATTTGAAGAGTTTGTACTAAAGATTTTAACAAAGAAATGCAGTGAGAGAAACTGCTCCTTTTATTTTTTTATTTTTTATTTTATTTTTTAAAATTTTTATTTAATGAGCATAAATTTCCAAAGTACAGCTTAAGGACCACAATAGCTTCCTCCCCCCCATATCTTCCCTCCCACCCACAACGCTCCCCTCTCCCACTCCCTCTCCCCTTCCCCTTCACATCACGATTAATTTTCAATTATCTTTATATACAGAAGATCAATTTAGCGTATGTTAAGTAAAGATTTCCACATTTTGCTCCCACACAGAAACACAAAGTGTAAAATACTATTTGAGTACTAGTTATAGCATTAATTAAACACCTAAGAGTAATTGTGTATTAATTACAGAGTTCAACCAATAGTTTTAAGTAGAATATAAAATGCATCTTTTGTATTGTTGTGGCTTCCCCCCCCCGACCTCCCTCCCTCCCATGGCCCTCCCCTCACCCACTCCCTCTCCCATCCCGCCCTTCATCACGTTTCATTTTCAATTACCTTCATATATCGAAGATCAACTTAGTATATACTAAGCAGGGATTTCAACAGGTTGCACTCACATAACCGAACCAGGTATAGGGTATTGTTCGACTAGTAGTGTTGTTTTT